TTGTTAAACCTGGTAGTGTTGTTGGTATAGTATATACTGATGGAGTCAAATATGGGAGAGGTCAAATGCTAACTCATCATACATTGCAAACTGAAGGAACTTGTGTTGGAAATAACCTCAGGTTTTCATTAGGTGATCTTGTTGGAGTAACCTGTCCTTTAGTACCAGCTAATACTACCACTGCTTTACTAGCTGGAGCTGGTATTGGTATGTGAACTATTGTATATATTGTAATATTTATTGTTGTTATATTAGAACCAATTTATTGTTCTGAATTATCTCTACAGTATGGTAACATTAATATCTCTGGTCCTTACTCTTATGGTACTGGCATTGAATACACTTGTCAGACTGGTTTCCAACTGGTTGGTGTTTCCAGTCAAACCTGTTTGTCCAGTGGAGGCTGGAGTCATGAATTACCTTATTGTAATGTACTCAACTGTACTGACCCAGGAGTACCTAGTAATGGAAGACGACATGGAAATCACTTCACAAATGGTTCCTTAATTCAATTCATTTGTGACAATGGCTTCAATTTAAATGGCACTTCACTGATCATGTGTTATCGTGGTAATTGGTCTGCTCCTGTACCAGTATGCATTAGCAATACACCTTCACCCTCCTCCTCCTCCTCTTCTGTCCCTACTACCACTTCCTCTTCGAAAATTATTACTTCTTCCTCTCCTTCTCCTTCTGCAACTAATCAAACTAATGACTCAATGCAATTTGCTTATCAGTTTCTGTCAGCAATCTTTATTGCACTAGTAGTCCTAATAATATTAGTACTTATTAGTGCATTGGTGTTCTTGTGTGCTTATCATAAGATAAAGAAGACTAAAAAGCAGTGAGTTATACTAAGAGTATCCTGTACTCTTGGTTATACTAATATAGTGTCGTTAATCATAATGTATATATTGTTCATAGAAATTTCGATGCTAAATATAATTGAAACAAACTTAAGTCCAGCATACAATTTGATTGTTAAGTGAGAGTTTCTCTTTTTTTCATTTATTTATTATATCATTTTTAGTGATGATGATGATATGCAATACAATCAAGCATATGCTACAGCACAGTATGTTTTATTAGAATTTTGCATAATAATAATACATATATTATGTAGTTCATTTGAGCAAGACTATGCAAAAATAGAAGACTGATAAAATTGATGAAAGTTCAAACAAACTTCTTACTTATGTGATTGAGAATTCAGCCTTGATGCAGTAATATATGTAGGATTCTATAGCTGCAACTTCAAAAATCTTTAATAAATTATTTTCAATAGCAAAATTTCTTATTAATGTGTGTCAAGTTAACTTTAAAATAATAGTTGATTGCATTCATGATACAATGGTATACAAATATCACTCTGATGTTAGTATGTAGTTTATTCAACACTTCAATCCTACACTATAACTGTGTGTCATGTGATTACTATAGTCAATGCACTCAGCACTGAGAGAGATAGAGAAGGAGAAGGGCTAAGGCTTTTCATTCACAATGCAGTCAATGCTCCTCACTCTAATACTAAGTAAGAATAAAAGATCAGTTATTATTATTCTAATTTCATTTTATTTTTGTAGGCTCTACTCTCATTTTTAGTACAATCAATGCTTGTGAATTTG